CGGCTAGCGCAGATATCCCTCTTGTAGCTTTGCGCAAAATTCAAAGCAAACAAGTACTCGAATTTAGTTTTTTTTAATTTCATTGCACCTTTTGTGTGTGATCCTTTGTGTTAACTCATTTATCAGAATTCATATATATATATATATATATACACCTATATGTATGATTATAATTATATATATTTACATTGTATGGAAAACAGAAAAGCATTCTTACACAAGTAAAATGGTATAAAGAAGATAGCTAGATCCACTGGTATATATATATATTACTTAAATTCAGATGGCTGTAATATATTCCGTTTTTACACACTAGAGGGTCTTGGAATATTAAGCTGTAAAGATGGCGGATAACGTGAATCTGGAAGCTGTAAATAAAGGCTTACGATCAGTTAAAGTTCTTAGGAGCACAGTTGGAGAATTGTTTAGAACTTTAGCAGATGGACTGAAAGCATCTCATGTAGATGAAGGGAAAGATATGCAATATCTTACAGAACTACAAAGTATTCTTTCTAATATAAATACTCGTTTAAGGTAAGTTTTGATATACCGACTGTATCCTAATTGTAAGTTCTAGCTCTACTCTATACTCATTTTAAGGAGCTACGACTATCTCACTTCTTTGATCTTACGAAACTGTTAGTATTGCTATTAACTGTAATATAGCTTTTAAAGTCTGTAGATTGTGGTGACTAATAGTTGAATATTGTAACAGTCGTGAGTTAGACTAATGTTCTTCCTTATCGGCTCGTGCCATGGTCTGAAGAAACTTGAAATTTAGACTTCGACAATTTCTTTTATCCTTTATTCAAGAAGTATGCCCTGTAACACTTACTATGTAAGATATAATTTAAGGCATTAAAATATATGAGCTAGTACTTAAATTGAAATAACATAATAGACCAATGGTAGTATTACTAATTTATTAGGTTTTTCCTAAATTACCAAATAAAGTAATCCCTAAGTGTTTGGTTCATTAAATTTCGTAGCATGCACATCTTTGTTTTTATAGTATTGAATTTGTTTCCACTTAATTATATATTATCTGTAAAGGTTTATCACATAAAATCTAAATACAGTGATTCTTAACAAAGAATTAGCTTTAGTAGATTAGATTTGTGAAAATGTGTTGGGATGAACTTAAGGATTGGTATTAATTGTATTTACAGCTTTTTACAGGTTTCATACAGTATTGAGTAAATGATAAATTTTCATGTACAACAGTTTGGATTAACTTAATCCTAAATTTTTGTACCTAAAGATACTTATCATAGTAAATAAAAAGTAGTTGAAAAATGTCTTTAAAAAAGGCTAAAACACTTAAAGTAAGAATATTAGGCTCATGTTAGAATAATATATTAGTTTAATTAATGTAATTCATTAATGAGCCCAATGATTAATGGTATTAATGACTAAAAACTTAATACTGGCATTCTAGGGTTAATAGTGTCCACTGTTCTTGTATTCACTCTATAGTTAGTAGGATTTAATGTCAATCTAATATGCTTCATTGTGCTGTTTATTACTGTATCATCCTATGCACATGATATAAAATTGTTTTTAAATCTTCATTGTGTTGCTAAACCCATTGCAAAATTGGTTTTCTTTCACTGGTTTCAAGCAAAACAGTATACAAGTGTAAAATAGTATGCAGTGAACATTGTTTTATGGTTTAAGGTTTTACATATAGTAGTTTGTTATAGAATGCACGTAGAAATATATGAGATCAACACTAGTGAATTCCAAAACTATTATACATAAATCTATGGCTGACTGAACTGTCTTTTGTGTCTGAATTTCAACTTGAGAGAGCCTTTCCTTTTTTCAATAGTCTTGTGTTAATCATTGTAGAGAACTTGTGTGAATATCAGTAATCCTTTTACAACATCTAGATTATCAGAATGCTCCCATGAAATGAAGTTTTTATGTGTAGTAAAACAGGTAGATGTATAAAATTTATTGTTCTTTTGCAAAATATTTGCTCAATTGGTGATCTTTTTGGGTGAATATATCTTCTACAATTATAAAAAACTGATTTGTGAACTTCTTTATATAGCTATTAATTTGTACTTTTTTTTTCTTTTACTATAGAGACTTAGAGACAGCTGTCACCCTCCTAGGAACACCACCACCACAGCTCCATCTTGGGAACACCAGTCATCTCAGTTTAGACCCTACATATGACAAGTCATCCTTGTACACTGAGATGGTTAAATCTTTTAGGTGGTGTGATAAGGTGAGGCAGTAGGAAATCACATAAAGTGTCAATTCAAATACAAGAGCACAAAGTTGCAGTGTATTTATAATGATAGCTTAATGGTCAATACTAGGTAACAAAGAACAAAAATTTATGGTTAACAGTTTGGTGCTTGATGTGGTTCATTTGTTACCTAAGGGCAAATACTCACCTCTCACACAGAATAGTTTCTTTCCTCTTGAGTTCACATGATCTACCAAAGGGATTTGCAAGCCATCAGCCTTGTGAAAACTCTCACCTAATCTCATCTCAAATCATGTGAATTTGCACTACTGCATAATAATGTAATCATGCAGCAAAACCCTCCACCAGTAGGAATGCAACATACCTCAATGTGCAATGACTCCCTCTACATTTATTCCCATGAATTCTCTTTATTCTCCATGGTACTGTCATGAATAGACATATTTTAAGTTTGCTGAAATTTACATCTTTTTCAGTTTTCAACTTTCATATGATTGAGTTTTAACATACTCAATATAAATTCCCAGTTTAATGTGAACTCTTCTTCTGCTGATGTGAGTGAAGATATTCTTTACCCTAAACAAAATACCATTAATTTGGTGGGAAGTTCTTTATGTGTAGAAGTGACAGTCGTCCAACGTGTGATGAGGTCCTTGATGCTGCTAGGACCCTCTGCTTTAGTCCATTTCAGTCACATATCTTCTCCTTCTTTCGAGTCTGAAGTTGAGGAGAATGAATTTTTCCACCTCTATATCTTGCTTTGTTAATGTCCTTACCTATTAAAGAACACTCTGTCTTCCTCAGATTTTCAAAACCTTATTATTCATGTATGCATAGTTCTTTCTTTCTCCCATATCCTATTACACAATCCTTCCACTCGTGATTGATTTATTCCCCCCCCCTCCTCTGACATTGCTTTACATTCCAATTCCTTTCTATATCACTTTGTTCCTGCAACCTTATGTCTTGCCCCCCTCACCTGACTGATTTTTATGTTCTTGTATATGACAACTCAAACTTCCCATTTCTTGGCACCCAATCTTTGGAGTCACTCTTGCCAGTTTGGGGAGCAGACTTATTACTAGCTGTTTCCCTATTTAGTGCACAATTTTCCTGACTTTGCGCCTTTCTCTCTGTGCTCTGTAGATACCTCTCTTTCTTTCATCTTATGACAAAAGTGCTTCACCATTCTCTTGATAACTTTTCTGGAGACTTTCGGTCTTCTTTACTACATCGACCCATTCCATCTCCTCTGCCTCTCTCTTCTCACTTGGTTCATTTGTTGTCGGGACCTTTTGGGAAGGAATACCCTACATTCTCAAGTCCATTTCCTTTCCTCCAGGGCCAATAGAGACTGATGGTAGAGTTGAGGTGATCATACTGTATACATTAGTGATGTATGCTCACATACACTGCTACCACAGCAGGGATGGGGCTTGTAGTTTCTGATAGTTGAATAGAGGTTTATATAAGTATTCATACTGACATGATTCCATAAAGTGCCTTCCTCCCATAACTGTCATGGGACCAGTAGATGAGGTGATCACAGATACTTATCTCACTCTCAATTTGTCTCAAGTATGTATCCCTGTGTTGTGTGTCACAGTGGGTGCACTTGGTTGTTGCTCTGCTTCTTTCTCTTGCACTACACCTTGATGTCTTTATGCTGAGGATGTTACTGTGTTTGTGGTGGATCCAGTCTGTTTGATTTGAGAGGGATATATCTGTATTTCATTCTGCTCACATGTGCTCTGTTCACCAATCAGTGGTGAGAATTTTCCCTCCAGTTGGCTGAACTTGAGGTGAAGACGGTATGATCCTCTCTACTACCCCCGTTTGGATGTCGGTGACTGGAGATTGAGTTTTGGATTGTAGTTGACTTACTGATGGTATGATCCTTGTCCTATCTCTGTGTGTATGTCAATTCTTGGCAGTCAAGTTTTGGATGCAGTTGACTTGCTGTGTACGGTCCATCATGCCCTACCCAATCTACACCTTGGGGTACATCCCTTCTTTTATCAGCAATGGGTTGTGCTCCTCAAATTTGTCTGCATGACTCAGTATCACCTTTTCCATGTCTGGGCAAAGTGTACACTTGGTACAGAAGTGGTGCTGTCTTCCTTGTATCATCCTCTTCTTTGAGGATTACCTCTTGGAGGTGTCCTTTGGACAATTTCAAAGTATACTTCTCTTTCCTCCCTTGCACCAGTCCCTCCACCTATTCAGTGTTGGATTCTAGCTATGTAAATGAGCAGAAGTAAAGTACCTTGTTAGAAATTATAATTTTCCTACACTGAAAATATGTTTTGACAGGTACTTACTTCTGCTCACACTTCCCACTCTTCCTCCCCACTGTCTACCGCTACTTAGTTTTCTGCCTAAACTCAAAGTGATAGTTAGGTGGAATAGCATAGAGGGTGTCACGTGTGTGGGGGGCATGTCTATTGGTGGAGGGTTGTTGCATGATAATTTGCATGCATGAATCAGTTAAACCATGTGAACTGATGTAATTTAGTATACTTGTCATAAGAAAGCACAAAATCTATTACATTTTCTAACACTACATTCTTTATTTAGTTCCTTAGGGTTTTGTACGAAAGAAGAGAGTATAATAGTATTTCAACCACACTATATCCACCACATCCATTGCTGATGACCTGTTTTACTTGATACAGAATTCATCAGGATAGCAGGAGTACAACAAATACCATTTGCTACAATAACAGTTGTTACGGTGTAAACATCTTTCTTAAGCTGGTATCATATTAATGATACAAGTTTAAAAATGGCCTTATAGTAATATCTTAACACAAGTATACTTATAATCATTTTTTGCCAGCTTAAAAAAGGCATTCAAACCATAACGATTTTGTTATGATTTGTTATTTATTCAGCTAATAAATGTTACTTTATCATAATTTCTTTGTTTCAGTTGTTACATTTTGTAAAAGCTAAAAATATTTACTTTTCTTGTAAATTCCTTTTTTCAGTTAACAATAAGTGTCGTCACATGATACACTTTATGAACTAAATGTTTTTTTAAATACAAAGCAAATTTTTACTGACTCCTAAAGATTGTTATACATATTTTTGCTACACATAATTTACAAATACTAATGCACACTAGTACAGTAAGCTGTACTTTTTGAATTTGTTGCTAGCAATGTGCCATGAATGTTCTAACAATATACAGTTCCATTTTTTTGTTCCTTTTCCAATTGGACTAAAACCTTAATTATATTTAAGTATTTTTAAAGCTTAATGAAGTGGTTCCCTTTTTCACTCCACACTAAAACAGAATATATGTAAAGAGAATACATACCAGTAGAAGTATAGGCTGTAGACATTAATAATATGGATATTTATTAAGAATTATATGATTAGAGCTGAGCAATTAATTCAATTACCTATGAGCATTGATTATATCAGGTAGTGTTACTTGAAATAGTCAGTTAAACTGTAAAGTGGGTTATATAGTAAAATATAAAATGAAAACGGTTTTAACATGATTATTTATGTAAGAGATGTGCCTTTTCTCTTCTAGCCATGAAAATATTAAATATTTCAAGAAAACACAAACAAATGTAGAATATGAAATTAATTTTTCTGATATCTTAATATATTTTTAAAGTGAAAAATATTTGATTTTAAAGATTTTTATATATAGCAATTTCTTTTGGGTTTCTATATTTACTGTAGTTAATTTCTTAAGTTGTGCACTGTATAAACAATAACTTGTGATGTACAGGAATATCAAAAATATATTCTGAGTTATTATATGTAATATGATAACTTACGTTGACATGCTGGTAACTGATTGTGTTTAGATTTTTAGTTTAAATCAACTCGTAGTCTTCCTGTACAGGTACATGAACACTCAAGCCATGCACATGCCATACTTACACAGAACTCGTTGAAGCGGTCAAATGTGAATCCCTTGCTTCTTGCTAAGAGAGTTCGAAGGACCCCTCATAATGGATACAACATGTCTCCCCAGTAAGTATGTTTAATGTTGGACATTTAAAGAGAAAACATAATATTTCTGAATATTGGAGAAACAAATCAAATAGGTTAGTTCTTTGATATGCATGTAATTAAGTTTTACTATCTGAAAAATGTTTGACTTTGGTGTTATACGGCAAATGGCCTCATTTCTAATAATTATGTAATATAAAAAGAATTTCAGTTAAGACTAAATGTTTTAATTCATGTGGTATAATGAGCTCTCATATTAATTAAAACTGCTACATGTTGGTAATATCTAACAATGTAAGAATATAGTTAAAATATTGGCATGTGCATCTTTTTCAAAAGTAGTAGTTTTTGTTGTAGTAGTTAGTAGTAGTTTTTGGTAGTTAAAAATATCAACATCTTTGATATAAAATTTGAATAAATCTGAAATTTGATGTCACCTTGGTACCTGAGGTGTGCCATAATGCTGATTGTTGTTGAAGATTATTGTTGAAGGGTTAACTTTCCTACCTTTAAACAATTGTATCAATGAAACACAAAAACAGTGGCATTTTTATCCCTAGCTGATCTGTTTTTGTTTTTTTGTGTGTGTGAAAACTAAAACCTTATAGCCTGTGTGAGTGTTTTCAATGTATTGTTAAAATCATTTTGAAAACAGATTAATACAGTCAAATACAAATAATTTCAGGCTATTTATTTATGTATTATTGACATTTATTTAAACCCAATATAGACACACCTCTGTGACATAACATAGCCATGCATAATAATAATAATAATATTGTGATTGATAACATTCATGTAAAGTAACAGAAAATGTGTATTTGTCGAAAACATTCCTGTTCAGTTTAGTTCTTCTCTTGAACATTTTTATAGTTGAATGTATAGGTATAGGTATGAGAATTGTATGTTGGAAGTGATGTATTTTATAAATTACAGTTACGTGTATTGACTCGTAATTTGTTTTCAATATTCTACAGGTTTGAGTAAAACAGTTTTTGCCATATTTTTTTATTTCATGAAGAATGTTTGGACATTTTTAAAGTACATCTATTTTATTTATTTGTAAATTTCTTTTCCTCACCAAGACTTGAATTTCAGTGAAGAGAAGATGACAATGAGACATACACTAAATTGAAACAAATACATCTGCCTTTTTTCTTGTTTGGTTATTCAGCACTGATTAATCAGTTTACTAATTGATAGTTGGTTTATCAGCCATAAAACTGGTAAACTTAATTCAGCTGTATTTAAAAGAAAATTGGCAGACTAAAATAATTTTTGTCATTTTAATTTCTAGTTGTTGTTTGTTATATATACTGATAATCTTCATAATTCTGCTATATTGTTGAAAAATTAATGAATTATGATTTAACATGTGGATCAAAAAACGATAGTGGTTCAATAAAAATATCTTCTGACTGTTTATCTAAATTATAGGTTTTTTTGTTTGCTTTTTTCAGTTATAGTCTAGATGAACTTTTTCCTTTAGATTCTTAATTGAAAATGAAAAATATTGGAATATAAGAAAGAAGATATATTAATGCAATTACTTTGAAGCCATTTTTTCTCATCATGTACAAAAAAAAACAGAAGCATGTCTTTGGGTTTTATTCTGGCAAAGAGAACATAACTATGAATTCTAATACTAACATTATATCAACATGCACAGAACTTTTGTAAAGCTACAAAAATTTACATTACAAAACCAAAAATGGAGCTTCATATGATCACATGTACCATGAAATAACGATAATATTATGAAAACTATTTCCACAAGCTTTTCCTTCCTGAGCTGTTGGATCAAGTCTTACTTAATCCATTAAATGTACATTTTTTGCCTGATGAAAAACGAAAAAATATTGAAAACTGTCACTATGGTAATTTGACTGATTTAGAGTGTGTGTTTTTCTTAATTTTGCAAAGATTCTTTTAAATTAAAAGTTTTTTTTTTATTGTTTTCTGTGGCCTTTCATTATGTGACATCTCGTGTATGTTTTAGAAATGTGGATACTTTTATTGCTGGACTTCAGAGATTATTTCCAGACATGACAGTTGATGTATTGAGACCATTTGGCTCTTCTGCTGTATTAAAGGTAAGTTTGACAAGGCTCAATTGTTCTCTGGTAATTAACTTTTAATACAATAGTTTACAAGATTTGGGATTAGTAATATATTGTTCTGATATGAAAAATATCCTTATTAAGAAAAGGAAGAAGCTGTGATTTGAAACATGGTAATAGTTTGATAACATATATTTATATATATAACATGTATTCCTTTTTATGTTACTTCATGGTACAAGTGTGTACTACATGTGTCAACAGAACATCTATAAACCAAGTGATTTAAAGTAATACAAGAAATAGTTTATATATATCTAGTTTAATATATAACATAGTTTAACAAAGGTAAATGTAAACTACACGCTTTATAAGGTGTGCACTGTTATGAGAACATTAAGAAGTATTTGTCATTGTCATAGAAGTTTTAAAAGCAAAGTAAGATTACTTAGGAAAAACTAAAAATTGATTTTAAGTGATGAGTAGAGGTAATATGATATAGTTCAGTCATGATACGGTACGTATCTCAATTTTCAGCTCACAATAAAATATGTATCTTGATATGTTCATAGCAATATTAGTCCCTACTATTCATTCACGTTTCTATCAGCTTCTATTAGGTCATCAAGAAATTAATGTTGTTTTGGAACACTTTCATTAACCACCCCCCCAAAAAACGTACAACATGTATAATAGTTAAACGAAACTGCCTAAATGTCACATTAGTGTAGCCTATATAATGTGTAAAGTTTAGTATACTCTAATCCCATATAGTGATGGCATACGATGAGACACACATTCGCCATGTAATGCTGTTTTAATACAAGAAAGGAAACAGTGCCTCTGTAACCACAAAGAATATTAAAAAAGTTTATGGAAATGTTTTGAACATTCGTAAGTGTTAACAGTGGTTCAGCAAATTTCGTTCAGGTGACTATAGCCTTAAAAACTGTGATGGCAGGGGCCTACATGTTGGAATTGATATTGATGCTCTGAAGATGGTTGTTGAGTCTAACCCAAGGCAACACACTCATGAAATGGCCCTGAAATTGCATCATGAAACAATACGTAAACATCTAAGGAATATGGGAAAACTCCATAAAAAAAAAAGGTGTTTGGGTGTTACATGAACTCTCCAATGATCATCATTTTTAACGTATGAACATTGCTTCATCTCTTCTGGTGTGTAATGCTCGTGAACCATTTTTAGACAGAATTATCACTGGTGATGAAATATTAATTCTCTATGCAAATATTAAATGCTAAAAACAATGCCTCAGTCCTAGACAAAAACCAC